TATATATGTTTTTTTAAGTATACATAGCCTAATTAAGTCTATAGTCTATTAAACTAAAGCACTATGCATGGTATGTTTGTTACATGTCAGGTATGCCAGCCATTGAACATGACCAAGGCACCTTACAGCAAAACTGCAGTCAGTCGCTGGACTGGCATGGCTATCACTACCCCTACGTAGTTAGGGGCTAATTTCTCACTGTAATCAGCTTTACAGCCATGGAAGGCAAACTTCTTTAATTTTGCTTAAACTATTTAATTTTACAAATCTATTAAGATTTGGAAAAAAAACTTCATAAAATATTGCAAATGAATATCTGAATCTTTTCAAGTCAAGTATTTTTTCAAATTCAATTAATTAAATTGAAAGATCTGAAATAATTTTTAAAATCTGAAAAAGCTGCTAACAAATTAAAATACATTAGAATTAGCCAGAAAATGAAAAAAGCCTATATAAAATATAATATTTTTTCTCAAGTTTCTAATATGCTTTTAGAGTATTGATTTTATAAAATATACTGTTTATCGGAAAATCAGTGTTGCTTCTATTGGCTAATTTAAAGTAAGCTAGACTACAGGCAATGAAAGAGTTCAAACTATTCTAACAGGTCCGTCGAAGTTATTTGCCATTGATTAGACGACAGGCATTATTTAGCACCTTACAGCGCCTTTTAGGGCAGCCAATAGCTGTCATGATTTAATTAAAGATCTGACCCAAAATGCAGAAGACCAAACAGAGAGACCAGGGAAAAGTTTTAACAGGTTTATTTAGTATAATGAGATTAGCCCAGTGCTGCTCTGAACACTGCTCAACTGGAACTGAAAGGTGAGGGGAAGACACTGCGGTTAGCTCAGGCTCAGTGGGAAATTAGATTCTTTGACTTGAAGAGGAGGAATAGGTTGCAGACTCACGCTTCCAGAAAAAGGTGTCCTTTATTGAATCCAGTCTGTGTGGGATGTTCCAGTGATTGTCTTGTTTGATGGTGGGCGGACAGGGTTTACTCAGACTGCGGTTGTTCCTTGGTGAACAGAGAAGCTGACTGCCACTCAGATTTCCTGCGGTACTTGAACGGGCTGTGGTGCAGATGAATCCCTTGCTCAGAGTGAAACTCAAACGACCTCTTTGGGAAAAGTGGATCCAAACCTCCAGTTTGAATCCCCAGCTCAGTTTAAGGCTCAGTTGATCCTTCCAGGGAGAGAAGGTCCGAAACGTCCAGTTTTGCAGGATGACTTCCTACCGAGAGGCAAAGACAAAAATAGCAAGGTTAAAACTCAAGTGTACAAAAACTCAGCTTGGCTAGAGTACCCAAAACAGGCAGACAAAAACTCAGATTAGACTCTGCTAAACTAAGCGTGGCTAGAGTACCCCAAACTGGTAAATGCACTGGCCACGAGGTAGTGGCAGTCAGAAGCTTAAGAGCACTCCACAGGTAATGAAGCAACGAGCTGCAGGTGTGCAGGGAGGCCCGATGAGGACGGGCACCACCTGGTGGAGGAGAAAAGGAATCACAAAAACAACCCACAAAAACAGGATTCCTGACAATATGGCCTTTCTTCCTGGGCAGTTGGCAAGACTGGTGAGGAGCAGAGAAGAAAAGCTGTTGAAGAAAAAAATACAAATTTTGACAAGAAAAAGTGTTTAAATATATTAAAAAAATTTATAATTTAATTTAAATGAGTCTTAGAGTAAAAAAAGTTCTTGTTCTCTGCACATCCCATACTGCTGGGTTCTTTCTATATTGTGGCATTTTGAAACTTTTTCAAGAAGAGCCAGCCCCATTGCAGCTATGCAAAATTCTGCAGGTTACTGTTAGGACAGCTCAGTTACAGCACTAGGGGGATATTTCATAACTGGGATATAAAAAAAAATATAGTTTTGACTAGTTCAGAGTAACTTAAATATCTTGTTTATAATTCCGGATGTGTGACACTTTAAATGACAAATTTGATTATGTCATTTGAGACATCTCAAAATGCATTTTGACTATCCAAAATGTGATTAAAGATATTTTGAATTGTAATTTTTCCCTAGACCTAATATAAAAATATAAAAAATCATTAAGGGCAGTCAAAATTTAGTAAATAATGTTTGTCTATTCTATTAAAATTTCTGTGTCTCTATAATGGTTTCTGTATTATGAGTTGTCTTCTCAATTCAGAGGGCCCCATGCCTGTCGTTGCCTAGTGATCCAAATTTCCTAAATCTGCCCCTGCTTCGATTCTCTCCTCTGGGTTTCATCTGTGGTGCCGAGAATTACCTCCCCTGTCGCGGGAGCACGCATCGCCCTAAACTCATGCCCAATGATAAGAAAACGGAATAAAATATGAACGAAAAGGGAAATTTGAAAATTAAAAATTTTAAACATATGTTTTTATATTTCTTGTACTTTGATGCCTTAAAATTTATAGTTTTTGTGTACAAATAAATTTGAATTAATAGGGTTTTACTTTTATGGAAACACCTTTCAGTTAATGTGCTTCAGTCAGTGTAGGATGAATAAATTCTCCGCTCAGTAGATGCCAATTCCTGATTTTGCTATCAACTCTATTTTAGATAATTTCTGACACTTTATTAGTTAAACTAAGAACCTGGAACCTGTGGATGATTCCCTCCCCTCCTTATTTTCACATTCCCTCAAATCACGTTGTCTTTGCCGCTCGGCCATGATGCTGTTCAGAACAGCGCAGGCTGTGCGCTACTCAGCCTGCCAAATGTTGATAGGGCAATAGTATTGCCATTACTGTTAAAATAAAATAGAAATTTACACATTCAGTTATAAAACGTCACAGGGAATGGTATAGGGGGATGGTCATTTAAGAAGGGGGATCATTTTAAAGATTTTTTTAAGAAGGGGGATACCTGCGCCCCTCTTCCCCCCTGAACTCGAGTACTGTCCTTTACACTTAAAATTAGTTATGAGGATCAGGTAAACTTTTTATGCTCTCACCTAACCTTAACTTGGAATGTTAAGCCAATTTCAGACAGTCTAAATGGGAAAAGGAAAATATGCACCTCTATCCTGACTTTTGGATGAAAATTGCTTGTGAAAAACATTTGTTTCAAGGTGATGTCATAAAATAAATGATCTGTTCTGTCTCAGTATGTCAGTACAGTAAGTGAGAAAGCGACACAGCAATTCATGTACTGCACATATCAGGATTTGATGTGTTCATGCCATAACACTCTAAAGCATCTATTGATTCCTACACCAGGTAGTAAGTATATCATGGGCAGTACTTCATGTGTCCAGGGGTGCAAGTGTCGACTGTCAGCAGAGATGGCAAAAGTACTCACTTTCCGTACTTGAGTAAAAGTACAGATACTTGTGTTAAAAAATACTCTGGTAAAAGTGGAAGTAC